AGGGGGAGGGGGGATTGCCCGTCAAGGCAACAACTCAGATAGAGACAAAGGTGTAAGGAAAAAACTGGCAAGGAGCACCTGTTCCCTCCTCTACCTGTCGTCCTTTGTCAAATTTCTCATCTCCCAATATGGTGCTTTGGGGGCCTCATCATCACAGCTCCCTATTGTAGGGGCACGCACCCCAAGTTGGGCGGGCTCACCATGGATTCGGGGGGATGGAAAGGAATCTTGGAGCCTTATGTTCACCTGGCACACCTTGGACACGGAGGCAGGGCCGGGACCCCACAGACAGACCGGCAGGCCGCCCGGGAGGCAGCCGACCCCACCTCCCCTCGCCCCTGCCCTGCATCTCAGTCCCGTACCTGCAGGGGTGCGCAGCCCCACCCCGCGGCTAATCACAGGTGCACTCTGGCCCGTGCTCACGCTCCCAAGCCTTGTTACTATAACAGCGGAAAGCAGGCCACAGGTGGGGCCTGGCGCTGGCTGGGCAGAGCCTGAGCGCCTCCATCTCCTACACCTGTCTCCGCCCCCCCAACTGGCTCTCTCACTCCACTGACTCTTCAATGTTCCCAGTGAACACCAGGGGCACCCAGGTCACCGCTGTCAGGGCCTTGGTGCACCTGGCTAGAGTTCCTCTCCTGGGTTAGAAGGTGGTTTGCTTCCTTCAGTTTAAGATCCCTTACCGCCCCCAACACAGCCATGCTGTGTTTCCATGGAATTCCTTTTTGGCTTAAGCTGGCCAGAGTTGGGACCTGCTGCTCGGTAGCTGATGACTTGTTGGGAATTGGGGCGATGCCTATTTGTGGGGGGCAGGCAGCATCTCCCAGACTAGGACATCCGCCTCATCACTTATTGTCTAAACAGTCAACATTTTCCCATCACCATGCAATAACAGTGTCTTGATTTTCAATATATAACATTTAAGGCATGGAATCTGTATTACGCTGTCCCACCGGGATACAGAACATTATTTCACCTGCGGTTCTGAGGGCCGGTGGTCGTATCTCTCCGGGGAAACCAAGAAACAGGCGCCTCCAGAGTGTGGCTGATCCCCACACGGTCGTGAAAGGTGAAGTCAAGCCCCGGGAGAATGGAAAATCAGACTGACAAGGGCCAGCAAGCTCACCTGGGTGACGCCGGCGGCTGCGTCCTCGTGGGCCAGCTGCTCCCCACTCCCCGCCCACCCCCGACCCGCACACTGCGTACCAGGTCCGAAGTGTCGAGTCTCAGCAAATGGCAGCAGAGAGGAGGAATGAGAGGCACATGCAACTCCACTGGCCTCTGTGGCTGTCTTCTGCCGCCTCCATCTTGTTCATACAGAAAGTGCGTGGGCGTGAGCCACGCGAGCCCCACTATGGACACCTGAGCGCGGCTGTGCGCCCGCGTGCACAGCTGCGCCTCGGGGTCAGGGAGGAAGGTGGCGTCACTCA